AGCCTATATACCCAGAAAGGCTTAGATGACAGTCTCTGAGTCTCTGGTATTGGCACGGGAATACTGTGATTGTTTGACGATTATTGTCGCCTAGGATGAAGTCTCTAGCAGACATGTATGTTCAAGACCTAATAGTATAACGTGCCACAAGTCATGCTTAGTGGATAGCAGCGAAATCCCATGCGCTGCTCACATGTCAGTCCTTCGTGGTGTTCAAAATTCATCTAAGAGTCCCCGTGGCGTCTTTCAGGACGGCCGTATAAAACATCAAGGCTTTAGAATAATTCGTCTTCTCTACAGAAGGAAACTTTCAGTCCCATGCTACGAGCCATTCCGGCCGCAAAAGATTCGGTCGAAAATTCGTTGTTAATACAAAGCAAGAATATTCTGGCACTTGGATACAGCAAAAATCAAAGATGGCGTGACAGGATTCTCACAAGTTTTAATTCATCCAAAGTTGCGAAATAACGTGCAATATTACTGCTTCCTTTTATCAGATTCAAAGGGTTTTGAAAATGATCGATTTTGAAGAGAACCGGTAGCGTTATTTTGTCCCCTACTGTTGGCAATCTCAGGTACACCGGAAATGATAGATGTGATTATGGGTAAGCTCTGTCGTTTTCGCAGCGTCATTGTCACTTTTAATTGGTTTTTGATGGATGTCAGCTTCCGCGCACTGCCAGGGGAACATCAATGTTGATAAAGGCATCCATTTGTGGTTTTGTGCTGTGACAAAGTAAGCCGTGCTAATTGCTGCCGTTGCCGTGTGGCCTCTTTGTTACAGTGGCTGAACTTCCACTGAGCTTTTCCAACATCCCGTAAGATATTATCTCCATTTGGTCGGGATGAAAACGGACCTGGAGAGACTACGATGTCTACCAGACTTTGAAACATACAATCCATCTTCCTTTACCTCAAGTTTTCCTAAGCCTTTTTTCTCTTTCTTCCTTGTCGTGTCAGACTATTTATCACCTCCTCTGTACCCTTAGTCTGCTAAGACCGATGGGACGCCAGACGGGTAGTCAGTAAGCCACCTTCCGCAAACTTTAGTCAGCCCACAATGCTCTGCAAATGCAGAGGCATGGTCTCTTAGAGACCCCAGGGTAAAACAAAACTACTATTTAAGACTTGTGAACCTTCCCTGCGTGTTTTCACTGATACAATAGAGTCCGACTCCAGCATCTCCATCCATCAATGCCACAGAAATGTCGATACCGTCGAGACGCTACCAGATGGATTGCACCCTGAGAGGAACTTCGTAATATACATCCCTGACCCATTTTTCTTCCACACTGCTTGACAGCAATATAGCCCCGGAAGCTCGAGCGAGTAATAAAAACTTTTCAAAGGCAACTCGTGGGAGGATCTGTATTGAGTGCCAGTGATAAATTCCAATTGTTCTTAGATCGATCACAACTTAGGCCAACCCACGGCTGCCGGTGTAGCCACACCATATAACATTCCACAAACTCGCTGTGTATTTAAATCCCTTTTACAAACCCATCTGCTGTCTATAGATAAACGTTACGCAAGACGGTGGGGCACAATATTGTTATATGAAATAAGACCATCGATATTCCTTAACAAGATTGCAATCGTTATCTGCAAAGATTTGATTAGAAAAATATGACATCTATCAACATAAGGGGAGTACTAATGACATTAGAGCAGGGTGATGAGCTTAAGTCTGTAGCAGATAGTCATCAGCAGCCGGTAAAATTCAATCAGGAAAATTATCACACCTGGGACTCAATCAATCACACCTGGTACTCAGTCAATCTTCTCTTTCAGACTATAAGACACTTATTGTTTGGTATCAACAAAGAATCTTTTACCTAAACCTGTAAACGTTAACTTTAAGGAAAGATAAGGCGCCAAGAAAAAAAAGTTGAAAATTCAATCAGAACAATTATCACACCTGGTACTCAGTCAATCTTCTCTTTCAGACTATAAGACACTTATTGTTCGGTATCAACAAAGATCTTTGTAAACGTTATCTTTACAGGTTTAGGTAAATGAGGAAAGATAAGGCGCCCAAGAAAAAAAAACTTGAAAATTCAGTCAGAATAATTATTACACCTGGGACTCAATCAATCACACCTGGTACTCAGTCAATCTTCTTTTTCAGACTGTAAGGCACTTATTGTTCGGTATCAACAAAGATCTTTGTAAACGTTATCTTTACAGGTTTAGGTAAATGAGGAAAGATAAGGGGCCAAGAAAAAAAAACTTGAAAATTCAGTCAGAATAATTATTACACCTGGGACTCAATCAATCACACCTGGTACTCAGTCAATCTTCTTTTTCAGACTGTAAGGCACTTATTGTTCGGTATCAACAAAGATCTTTGTAAACGTTATCTTTACAGGTTTAGGTAAATGAGGAAAGATAAGGGGCCAAGAAAAAAAAACTTGAAAATTCAGTCAGAATAATTATTACACCTGGGACTCAATCAATCACACCTGGTACTCAGTCAATCTTCTTTTTCAGACTGTAAGGCACTTATTGTTCGGTATCAACAAAGATCTTTGTAAACGTTATCTTTACAGGTTTAGGTAAATGAGGAAAGATAAGGGGCCAAGAAAAAAAAACTTGAAAATTCAGTCAGAATAATTATTACACCTGGGACTCAATCAATCACACCTGGTACTCAGTCAATCTTCTTTTTCAGACTGTAAGGCACTTATTGTTCGGTATCAACAAAGATCTTTGTAAACGTTATCTTTACAGGTTTAGGTAAATGAGGAAAGATAAGGGGCCAAGAAAAAAAAACTTGAAAATTCAGTCAGAATAATTATTACACCTGGGACTCAATCAATCACACCTGGTACTCAGTCAATCTTCTTTTTCAGACTGTAAGGCACTTATTGTTCGGTATCAACAAAGATCTTTGTAAACGTTATCTTTACAGGTTTAGGTAAATGAGGAAAAGATAAGGGGCCAAGAAAAAAAACTTGAAAATTCAATTAGAATAATTATTACACCTGGCACTCGATCAATCACACCTAGTACTCAATCTTCTCTTTCAGACTGTAAGACACTTATTGTTCGGTATCAACAAAGAATCTTTAGAAGATTTTTGTAAACGTTATCTTTACAGGTATAGGTAAATGAGGAAAGATAAGGCCAAAAATCTTTCGTTGCAATGAATATATATAAAGGTAAAACTTCATCGCAGATCTGCTTCCTCCCCACGTTCCTATTATATATTCACATTTGTATAGGCTTTGTAGAGTTTGAGCACACATACTTGTTTAAATGTACTTATTCTGTGTATGTAATATTACAGATCAATTATTTCTTGTAATATTTTTGCTCCTGTTTGTATGGTGGCCTTGAAGGCGGTAACATCTGTTCCAACACACCCTCTATTGTAATGGCTAAGCCTAATAAAAATCAATGCCTACTCCGAGGAATTTAACTGAAGTTTTTGTTAGATTGGAGCCCGATGAGTCTCAGCAGCCAGCGTAAATATCCTTCGTCAATTTCTCTTCCGGGGATTGATCGCAACCATTCTTATGCGGATTATGACACAGGCCTTGACAAATCGTCCAATAAATAGA